CTTTGGAAGATAGCAAGTGGAAGACTCTTCATGAGCAACTTGTGTATTATTGATATCTTTGGATGATAGAAAGTGGCAGACTCTTCATGAGCAGCTTGTGTATTATTGATATCTTTGAAAAGCAGCAAGTGGCAGATTCTTCATAAGCAGCTTGTGTATTATTGATATCCTTGGAAGATAGCAAGTGGTGGACTCTTCAAGAGCAGCTTGTGTATTATTGATATCTTTGGAAGATAGCAAGTGTAGGACTCTTCATGAGTAGCTTGTGTATTATTGATATCTTTGAATGATAGCAAGTGGCAGACTCTTCATGAGCAGCTTATGTATTATTGATATCTTCGGAAGATAGCAAGTGGCAGACTCTTCATGGGCAGCTTGTGTATTATTGATATCTTTGGAAGATAGCAAGTGGCGGACTCTTCATGAGCAACTTGTGTATTACTAATATCTCTTAAAGATAGCAAGTGGAAGACTCTTCATGATCAACTTGTGTATTATTGATATCTTTGGAAGATAGCAAGTGGAGGACACTTCATGAGCAGCTTGTGTATTATTGATATCTTTGAAGATAGGAAGTTGCAGACTCTTCATGAGTAGCTTGTGTATTATTGATATCTTTGGATGATAGCAAGTGGCAGACTCTTCATGAGAAGCTTGTAAATTATTGATATCTTTGGAAGATAGCAAGTGGCAGACTCTTCATGGGCAGCTTGTGTATTATTGATATCTTTGGAAGATAGCAAGTGGCGGACTCTTCATGAGCAGCTTGTGTATTATTGATATCTTTAGAAGATGGAAGACTCTTCATGAGCAACTTGTGTATTATTGATATCTCTGGATGATAGAAAGTGGCAGACTCTTCATGAGCAGCTTGTGTATTATTGATATCTTTGAAAAGCAGCAAGTGGCGGATTCTTCATAAGCAGCTTGTGTATTATTGATATCCTTGGAAGATAGCAAGTGGTTGGCTCTTCATGAGCAGCTTGTGTATTATTGATATCTTTGGAAGATAGTAAGTGGCAGACTCTATATGAGCAGCTTGTGTATTATTGATATCTTTGGATGATAGCAATTGGCGGACTCTTCATGAGCAGCTTGTGTATTATTGATATCTTTGGAAGATAGCAAGTGGCGTACTCTTCATGAGCAGCTTGTGTATTATTGATATCTTTGGAATATAGCAAGTGGCAGACTCTTCATGAACAACTTGTGTATTATTTATATCATTGGAAGATAGCAACTGGCAGACTCTTCATGAGCAGGTTGTGTATTATTGATATCTTTGGAAGATAGCAAGTGGCAGATTCTTCATGAGCAGCTTGTGTATTATTGATATCTTTGGAAGATAGCAAGTGGAGGACTCTTCATGAGAAAATTGTGTATTATTGATATCTTTGGAAGATAGCAAGTGGAGGACACTTGATGAGCAGCTTGTGTATTATTGATATCTTTGAAAGATATTAAGTGGAAGCTCTTCATGAGAAGCTTGTGTATTGTCGATATCTTTGGAAAGCACAAGTGGCGGATTCTTTATGAGCAACTTGTGTATTATTGACATCTTTGGAAGATAGGAAGTGGTGGACTCTTCATGAGCAGCATGTGTATTATTGATATCTTTGGAAGATAGCAAGTGGCAGACTCTTCATGAGCTGGTTATGTATTATTGATATCTTTGGAAGATAACAAGTGGCGAATTCTTCATGAGCAGCTTATGTATTACTGATATCTTTGGAAGATACCAAGTAGAGGACTCTTCATTAGCAGCTTGTGTATTATTGATATTTTTAGAAGATAGCAAGTAGAGGACTCTTCATGAGTAGCTTGTGTATTATTGATATCTTTGGATGATAGCAAGTGGCGGACTCTTCATGAGCAGCTTATGTATTATTTATATCTTCGGAAGATAGTAAGTGGCAGACTCTTCATGGGCAGTTTGTGTATTATTGATATCTTTGGAAGATAGCAAGTGGCGGACTCTTCATGAGCAACTTGTGTATTATTGATATCTCTTGAAGATAGCAAGTGGAAGACTCTTCATGATCAACTTGTGTATTATTGATATCTTTGGATGATAGAAAGTGGCAGACTCTTCATGAGCAGGTTTTGTATTATTGATATCTTTGGAAGATACCAAGTGGTGGATTCTTCATGAGCAGCTTGTGTATTACTGATATCTTTGGAAGATACCAAGTGGAAGACTCTTCATGAGCAGCTTATGTTTTATTGATATCTTTGGAAGATAGCAAGTGGCGGACTCTTCATGAGTAGCTTGTGTATTATTGATATCTTTGGATGATAGTAAGTGGCAGACTCTTCATGAGAAGCTTGTGAATTATTGATATCTTTGGAAGATAGCAAGTGGCAGACTCTTCATGGGCAGCTTGTGTATTATTGATATCTTTGGAAGATAGCAAGTGGCGGACTCTTCATGAGCAGCTTGTGTATTATTGATATCTTTGGAAGATAGCGATTAGAAGACTCTTCATGAGCAACTTGTGTATTATTGATATCTTTGGATGATAGAAAGTGGCAGACTCTTCATGAGCAGCTTGTGTATTATTGATATCTTTGAAAAGCAGCAAGTGGCGGATTCTTCATAAGCAGCTTGTGTATTATTGATATCCTTGGAAGATACCAAGTGGTGGACTCTTCATCAGCAGCTTGTGTATTATTGATATCTTTGGAAGATAGCAAGTGGCAGACTCTACATGAGCAGCTTGTGTATTATTGATATCTTTGGATGATAGCAATTGGCGAACTCTTCATGAGCAGCATGTGTATTATTGATATCTTTGGAAGACAGAAAGTGGCGTACTCTTCATGAGCATCTTGTGTATTATTGATATCTTTGGAATATGCCAAGTGGCAGACTCTTCATGAATAACTTGTGTATTATTTATATCTTTGGAAGATAGCAAGTGGCAGATTCTTCATGAGCAGCTTGTGTATTATTGATATCTTTGGAAGATATCAAGTGGAGGAATCTTCATGAGAAACTTGTGTATTATTGATATCTTTGGAAGATAGAAAGTGGAGGACACTTGATGAGCAGCTTGTGTATTATTGATATCTTTGAAAGATATTAAGTGGAAGCTCTTCATGAGAAGCTTGTGTATTGTTGATATCTTTGGAAAGCAGCAAGTGGCGGATTCTTTATGAGCAACTTTTGTATTATTGACATCTTTGGAAGATAGGAAGTGGTGGACTCTTAATGAGCAGCATGTGTATTATTGATATCTTTGGAAGATAGCAAGTGGCGGACTCTTCATGAGCAGGTTGTGTATTATTGATATCTTTGGAAGATAACAAGTGGCGGATTCTTCATGTATTACTGATATCTTTGGAAGATACCAAGTAGAGGACTCTTCATTAGCAGCTTGTGTATTATTGATATCTTTAGAAGATAGCAAGTGGAGGACTCTTCATGAGTAGCTTGTGTATTATTGATATCTTTGGATGATAGCAAGTGGCGGACTCTTCATGAGCAGCTTATGTATTATTGATATCTTCGGAAGATAGAAAGTGGCAGACTCTTCATGGGCAGCTTGTGTATTATTGATATCTTTGGAAGATAGCAAGTGGCGAACTCTTCATGAGCAACTTGTGTATTATTGATATCTCTTGAAGATAGCAAGTGGAAGATTCTTCATGATCAACTTGTGTATTATTGATATCTTTGGATGATAGAAAGTGGCAGACTCTTCATGAGCAGCTTGTGTATTATTGATATCTTTGGAAGATAGCAAGTGGCGGACTCTTCATGAGCAGGTTGTATATTATTGATATCTTTGAAAGATACCAAGTGGTGGATTCTTCATGAGCAGCTTGTGTATTACTGATATCTTTGGAAGATACCAAGTGGAGGACTCTTCATGAGCAGCTTATGTATTATTGATATCTTTGGAAGATAGGAAGTGGCGGACTCTTCATGAGTAGCTTGTGTATTATTGATATCTTTGGATGATAGCAAGTGGCAGACTCTTCATGAGAAGCTTGTAAATTATTGATATCTTTGGAAGATAGCAAGTGGAAGACTCTTCATGGGCAGCTTGTGTATTATTGATATCTTTGGAAGATAGCAAGTGGCGGACTCTCACTACAAGAAAATTAGTGTTTAACGACACAAAAATTGCGACAGTTATGTGATAACTGTCGTAATTGACATATAGAGACAGTGTTTACGACAGTTGACACCAACCGTCCCTAATATTTATTTTGCGACGGTATATGTAACCATCATAATATTATTATTACGACGGTAAAACAACCGTCGGCCCCCATTTAACACTTTTAACATTGATTTTTCACCAACAACTAGTCACGACGGTAAAATTAACCGTCCTAAAAGGCATATCACGATGGTAAAGCACCCGTCGCACCCTTAAACCTTTCACGACGGTAAAATTATCCGTCCTAAAATTCATTTCACGACGGTAAAACAACCGTCGCACCCAAAACCTTTAAAAATCTCTTGCTAACTTATATATTTTATCTAATTATAATTGTTATGTATATTTAAGTTCTCTCTTGTTAAGGTTAAGTTTATGCATTATTATATATTCTATGAATTTGATACGACAATGGTGTTATGTTCAATTTAATCAATCAAATAAATTTAATCTTTCATCTTTTTCTCAATGCTTGTTATATTTGTATTATGCTTGAGGAGGATCTATGAGATGTCGAGACGGTCTGATAGGACTAGACCAAGGGTAACTTATGGTTATGCCTCGAAAGACATGACTTTTATAACATGATATGTGGATTTAATTGATGTTGAAAAATGATTTTAAGTTTATACCTAAATAATCATTTATCATGAGCTAAAGTATATACATAGAGCTTGACATAATATTCACATATATAGTTGAAACACAATGTTATCGTTAAATTTATACCTAATCCTAACTAAACACAAATTGAGTTGCACATTTCCTCTGAAGTTAGAATTTTGATAAACCCATCTCGCAGCCATTACAAATCGTGTATTGAAGTGAAGAATGCTTCCTCAGCAAATGAAGAAAGCCGTTACTGATAACCCTAAAAAGCTCGCAAACTTGATCGATCTCGTTAACCTTCCTCCCACTCTTAGAGACTTCGTCGGTCAATATCAGACTTCTCGATTAACCTGTTTCATGCGTGTTTGGTCCTACGTCAAAACCAACAATCTTCAGGTTCTGCTTTGTTTTTTCAACTCATGAAAATTGATTCACATCAAAGTAATTGTTGCTATTGTTCTGTTTTCAGGATTGGAGAATTTAAACTTCGGCGACTTCAAGTTCGCTTCCGTTCCCAATCAACCACTCCCTTCCACCTCCGGTTGGGGCAACTTCGTCAACCATTCCAATCACATCAATGGCACCACCATTTCAAAACCCTCTGATCCATTTACAGTTTCCCCGGATCCCCTCGGGAAAACCGCAAACAAAGCTCGCGGAGCTATTCCGCTTTCAATCTTCGGCGAGGAAGAAGATGATGAACCTGTTTCTAATTCCAGTTCCAATGATTTTTTCTTCAACGGTGGTGGTGCTGTTGTGAAAAAGGGATCCGATTCGAATGGTTCCGTTGGAATTAGTGATTTGATTTCCAATTTGTATCATCAGCAAAACGGATCAGCTTTGAAATCCAATGTCGGCTCTACCAGTCCGAAGAAATCGAGTGTAAACGATTTGAATCAGGATGAGGACGACGACGAGGACGATGGATGGGAATTCAAGTCTGCGGAACGGGAAACTGTAAATGAAAACTTCAATGTTAAGGTAAATTGGGTGAAGCTTACGTGAATGCTAGAAACTAGTATAAATTTTGTATTCATTCATTTCAATTTTGTATATTTATGTTTTGGAGTAATAATATATTAAGAAACTAAGTTTTTGGCCTTTGGGCAAGAGGTTCATTTCGTGTTTCTTCATAATAACACGTGCTTGCTTAAATACAAAGACCTTTTTTTCTCTTCTTCATGAATTGCATTTGATTGAAGTGATATTCTGTATTATATTTTTAATTAAGGTTGAAACGCCCAAGCATGGTAACAGTGCAGTTGGAGCTGGTGCTTTGTTAGACTCATCTGACAAAGTTGGTGAATGGAACCTGGGGTTTGAGTTCATTCCTATTTCTGCATCTCACAGCCTACAGCTAAGTCCGAAAGGTGAATCAAATGAAAATGGAGCTAGGTTTACCATGTTCAATCAAACTTTTGGGAAGTTGGCAAATGCACATTCATGGCCAGGATCAAATCAAACTTTGGTTGGTTGTTTCAACATTGTTTCCTCATTTTATGTAACATTGTTTAGATTGTCAAGGAATATGCATTAATACAATCTGATTATGGATAAATGTGTGGTTAATGTGACTGCATTGAATCCATTTTGAGTGAACCCCTTCTTCTCAAGAAATTGAGCTGCACCTTTAAAGCTCTTCACAAAATCAATTTGATTGTCACACTTTGGACCGCATTCGTCATTGTTATTCGTCCATAACTCATACTCAACTCTGTCGTCCGGATGCGAAAGAGCCTCTCTCCAATCAAGATTTATGTGAACAACCTCACCATTCAAGAGAGCTTTTTTGATTCTGTCCCCCAAGGATTTGCTGATAAGAGTAGAAGGAATACTAACCTCTGCAATTTAGGTGAACAAATTTTGATCATATGTTTTTTTAGAGAATCTTATTTACATTGTTACATAATCTGCTTTTGACAGTCAATGTACAGTCGCTATCTGGATCTCCTTCCAATTTCCAAGTTTACACTGCTTTATTGAAACCTCATGAGAGAATTATGGCACTCGATCTTCCCCATGGTGGGCATCTTTCACATGGATATCAGGTAAGTTCTGCTTTTAATTACCATTTGTGTTCATTGCACCTGCTGCCATGAGTTGACAACCATAGCAAGTATGCACTAGCCACTAGGATATGACAAATAAATGTTGCTGCAAAAATGGCACTTAAGTGACTGGTATATTGTCATTTTTTTTGTTTTTGCTTATTTAGGTAAGAAAACAATTTATCAAGGAAAGAAATTAAAACAGGACTTCTCTTAAGACAACAAAAAAAATTTAGTAAATAAACAAAAGGGAAAAGAAGTCGGTTAAAAAATGTATTATATAGGAAGTATGAGCAGTTGTGGTCAAAATCATACAAGGAAGCTAAGAAAAAAATCCTTTCCTTAAATTATGCGTGAGAAAGAAATTCAAATATTTCAAATCACATTCTAGCCAAATAAACTTGTGATTAAATTAATTCTCTCTAAACTTCTTTCTTAGATTATAAATGGACCAGACACAGTCTATAAGCATTTCAATAGAGCCAAACCATTTATAAAATATTTGCATCTCATAAAATTGAAAAACAGTGTACTGTATGCAAATTACAAATTAGAAGCCTCTTAACTTTTCAGTCTTACTGAAAGACCCCTAATTTTACCTCACTCTCAATCTTTCTTTTACAATGCCATCTACTAGTTTCTTTTAATTATTTTACACTTGTGTTAGTTGTGGGATTAGTAGGCTAAGCCAATGCAGAATTTTCCCAATGCTCTTTCAAAATGGCTCTAGATTCACATCTGTTGCTTGACATTTACTTTCCATTTTGCTGTTAAATTGTTGTTTTGTTAAAAAATTTAGAACAATGTATATCCTATTTCTCTATACAAACTTTCATTTATATCTTTGTGTCATGCAGACTGACACCAAGAATATATCAGCCGTATCTATATTCTTTGAAACAATGTCGTACAAATTGGACGAGAGCACTGGTTATATTGATTATGACCAGGTAGGCAGGTAGCATTGTATTTCTGTATTGTGGACATGTCTGTTTCAATCAAAGACAATTTTTCTAGTTCTAAGTAGCCAGTATTGTTTTTGTTTCACTTGTTATCACCTTTACCTTTGTCAATATGCAAGTGTTTTCTCATTCAATGTTTGGTTATAACGTTAGGTTTTGTGCTTATTGACGGTGCTTTTTATCTTTCTTGCATGTCCTAGATTTAAACATGTACTTTATGGCTTGACTTATCTAATATACCTGCAGATGGAGAAAAGTGCTGCACTTTTTAGGCCAAAATTAATAGTTGCCGGTGCTAGTGCTTATGCCCGCCTTTATGATTATGCACGTATTTGCAAGGTAAGCTATATCTGATTATAGAAACTTAGATATTTTATGTTCTTAACATTGTAGTGATGATATTGTGTCTTTCACATTTGAATTGTTTTAGGTCTGTGATAAACAGAAGGCAGTTATGTTAGCTGATATGGCCCACATCAATGGATTAGTTGCTGCAGGTGTTATTCCTTCTCCTTTTGATTATGCAGATGTTGTAACAATCAGTTTGCCTTTATTTTATGGTCGGGGTAGGGATTAAAAGAATCTCAGTTGTCTTAGTTGATATATTAACTCATTCATTTGTGCTCTTATGTTTTTCAATGAATTTTTTCAAATATGAGGGTGGTATATTTCTATTTGAGTAACCAGGCTTGCGATATGTAGATAGCTCCTCATCAGATGTTTGATGATTAGGAAGCAAACAAAATTTTGCATTTTTGCAAAGGTGAGAATACAAAGCAACAATCCCTCCTGCACAAGTTGAAAGCATCAGTACTACTACACTTAATACATATTATAAAGGGATTTTTTTAAGGAGGGGCAGGGGATCGAGACTCAAAATAATAATGAATAACAATCCTTACCATTGCTCAATGTACTGCTTTCTTATTATTCATGGCAAAAATGTCAAAATTATATACCAACAGTATTATTCAAGTCCAATTGCAATAGTGTGTGCCACCTCCTAGTTTGTGCCAACTTCTTTTTACGTATATATGGAAGTCCATGATTTGATCAAGAGGTTCTCCCCCAATATATTATTCTTGTTATATAAACAATAGCTCAATTTTTTCATTTTCATGTGCAGAAAAAATTACAAGCTGCAATTAAGGATTCTGTGTCTGAAATGAGGCATTTCAGAAAGTATTTGGAAAAGAAAAGCATGGATATGTTCGTAGTATGGGACTTGGAGTTACACCATCTCAAATTAATAGATCTACGAGATCGACATCTTCTTCTGCAGAAAGTGAACAAATAAAGGAAATGCAAGAAGAAATTAATGCACTTAAAGAAAAGAATTCAAAAATTGATGAATTAACACAGGCAATCATATTCTTAACGCAAAGGGACAAGGCGAGGACAAAGGAAATTGAACTCTTAATGCAAATGCAGAATTTTAGTGGAAGACAGGTATATTATTTTGACGCATTTAAAGTTAAATTTTATGAGTATTATTTTAAAGATTATTATTTTAATACCTTTTTTTAGGGATTGGAATCACCCGCTGATGGTAGACGTTCATCTGAGTCTAGCTACCGTATTGGAGATAATGGAACTTCAGGGGGGACAAATTAGACTTTGCTATGATCAAGATAATTAGATTGTGAACTTTCTCATGTATTTTTGGCATAATGATACTTATTATTATAAGATTAGGAATTGATATATTTTGGGTTTTTTGTACTACTTGACATGATTATGGAACTCGCATTTTACATGATTATGGAACACACATTTTTTTGGATATTATAATGCTTATTTGATGTTAAATATTTTTTATTGAAATTATTTTTACTATATTACAAAGTGATAGAAAATAAAACAAAAAATAATACTATAAATAAATATATTAAAGAAGAAATAATTTAAAGAAAAAAATAACACAAAAAAAATTAAAAGATATTCACGACAGTATCGAACCGTCGCCATAAACAATTTAATCAATTTCAAAAGATATTCACGACAGTATCGAACCGTCGCTATCAATAATTAAAAGAAACTCAAAAGATAGTCACGACGGTATCAAACAGTCACCAATACTTGATTATGTCAGCTCTAAACCCGTCGTAAACTTGAACGACAATTTTTGTAACCGTCGCGAAATAGGTTGGGGACACACACTTCTGCAACGGTAAAGCAACCGTCGTGGAAAGCATATTCCGACGGTTTTAACCGTCGTAATCTACAAAAATACCTGTCGCAATCTGCCAATTTTCTTGTAGTGTCTTCATGAGCAACTTGTGTATTATTGATATCTTTGGAAGATAGCAAGTGGAAGACTCTACATGAGAAACTTGTGTATTATTGATATCTTTGGATGATAGAAAGTGGCAGACTATTCATGAGCAGCTTGTGTATTATTGATATCTTTGGAAGATAGCAAATGGCAGACTCTTCATGAGCAGCTTGTGTATTATTGATATCTTTGGAAGATAGCAAGTGGGAGACTCTTCATGAGCAACGTGTGTATTATTGATATCTTTGGATGATAGAAAGTGGCAAACTCTTCATTAGCAGCTTGTGTATTATTGATATCTTTGGATGATAGTAAGTGGCATACTCTTCATGAGTAGCTTGTGTATTATTGATATCTTTGGAAGATACCAAGTGGCGTACTCTTCATGAGCAGCTTTGTATTATTGATATATTTGGAAAGCAGCAAGTGGCAAACTCTTCATGAGCAAATTGTGTATTAATTATATCTTTGGAAGATAGCAAGTGGCAGACTCTTCATGAGAAGCTTGTGTATTATTGATATCTTTAGAAAGCAGCAAGTGGCGGATTCTTCATAAGCAACTTATGTATTATTGATATCCTTGGAAGATAGAAAGTGGCAGACTCTACATGAGTAGCTTGTGTATTATTGATATCTTTGGAAGATAGCAAGTGGCGAACTCTACATGAGCAGCTTGTGTATTATTGATATCTTTGGATGATAGCAATTGGCGGACTCTTCTTGAGCAGCTTGTGTATTATTGATATCTTTGGAAGATAGCAAGTGGCGGACTCTTCATGAGCAGCTTGTGTATTATTGATATCTTTTGAATATAGCAAGTGGAAGACTCTTCATGAACAACTTGTGTATTATTTATATCTTTGGAAGATAGCAAGTGGCAGACTCTTCATGAGCAGGTTGTGTATTACTGATATCTTTGGAAGATAGCAAGTGGCAGATTATTTATGAGCAGCTTGTGTATTATTGATATCTTTGGAAGATAAGAAGTGAAGGACTCTTCATGAGCAGCTTGTGTATTATTGAGATCTTTGGAAGATAGCAAGTGGCAGACTCTTCATGAGCAGATTGTGTATTATTGATCACTTTGGAAGATAGCAAGTTGCGGATTCTTCATGAACAGCTTGGGATTTATTGATATCTTTGGAAGATACCAAGTGGAGGACTCTTCATGAGCAGCTTGTGTATTATTGATATCTTTGGAAGATAGTAAGTGGCAGACTCTTCATGAGCAACTTTTGTATTATTGATATCTTTGGAATATAGAAAGTGGCAGACTCTTCATGAACAGCTTGTGTACTATTTATATCTTTGGAAGATAGCAAGTGGCAGACACTTCATGAGCAGCTTGTGTATTATTGATATCTTTGGAAGATAGCAAGTAGAAGACTCTTCATGAGCAACTTGTGTATTATTGATATCTTTGGATAATAGAAAGTGGCAGACTCTTCATGAGTAGCTTGTGTATTATTGATATCTTTGGATGACAGTAAGTGGCATAGTCTTCATGAGTAGCTTTTTTATTATTGATATCTTTGGAAGATACCAAGTGGCGTACTCTTCATGAGCATCTTGTGTATTATTGATATCTTTGGAAAGCAGCAAGTGGCAGACTCTTCATGAGCAACTTCTGTATTATTGATATCTTTGGAAGATAGCAAGTGGCAGACTCTTCATGAGAAGCTTGTGTATTATTGACATCTTTGGAAAGCAGCAAGTGGCGGATTCTTCATAAGCAGCTTGTGTATTATTGATATCCTTGGAAGATAGCAAGTGGTGGACTCTTCATGAGCAGCTTGTGTATTATTGATATCTTTGGGAGATAGCAAGTGGCGGACTCTTCATGAGCAAGTTGTGTATTATTGATATCTTTGGATGATAGTAATTGGCGGAATCTTCATGAGCAGCTTGTGTATTATTGATATCATTGGAAGATAGCAATTACGGACTCTTCATGAGCAGCTTGTGTATTATTGTTATCTTTTGAATATAGCAAGTGGCAGACTCTTCATGAACAGCTTGTGTATTATTTATATCTTTGGAAGATTGCAAGTGGTGGACTCTTCATGAGAAACTTGTGTATTATTGATATATTTGGAAGATAGCAAGTGGTGGACACTTCATGAGTAGCTTGTGTATTATTGATATCTTTGAGATATTAAGTGGAAGCTCTTCATGAGCAGCTTGTGTATTGTTGATATCTTTGGAAAGCAGCAAGTGGCAGATTCTTTATGAGCAACTTGTGTATTATTGACATCTTTGGAAGATAAAAAGTGGTGGACTCTTCATTAGCAACTTGTGTATTATTGATATCTTTGAAAGATAGCAAGTGGCAGACTCTTCATGAGCAGGTTGTGTATTATTGATATCTTTGGAAGATAGCAAGTGGCGGATTCTTCATGAGCAGCTTATGTATTACTGATATCTTTGGAAGATACCAAGTAGAGGACTCTTCATGAGCAGTTTGTGTATTATTGATATCTTTAGAAGATACTAAGTGGAGGACTCTTCATGAGTAGCTTGTGTATTATTGATATCTTTGGATGATAGCAAGTGGCGGACTCTTCATGAGCAGCTTATGTATTATTGATATCTTTGGAAGATAGTAAGTGGCAGACTCTTCATGGGCAGCTTGTGTATTATTGATATCTTTGTAAGATAGCAAGTGGCAGACTCTTCATGATTAGCTTGTGTATTATTGATATCTCTTGAAGATAGCAAGTGGAAGCCCCTTCATGATCAACTTGTGTATTATTGATATCTTTGGATGATAGAAAGTGGAAGACTCTTCATGAGCAGCTTGTGTATTATTGATATCTTTGGAAGATAGCAAGTGGCGGTCTCTTCTTGAGCAGGTTGTGTATTATTGATATCTTTGGAAGATACCAAGTGGCGGATTCTTCATGAGCAGCTTGTGTATTATTGATATCTTTAGAAGATACAAAGTGGAGGACTCTTCATGAGCAGCTTATGTATTATTGATATCTTTGGAAGATAGCAAGTGGCGGACTCTTCATGAGTAGCTTGTGTATTATTGATATCTTTGGATGATAGCAAGTGGCAGACTCTTCATGAGAAGCTTGTGTATTATTGATATCTTTTGAAGATAGCAAGTGGCAGACTCTTATTGGGCAGCTTGTGTATTATTGATATCTTTGGAAGATAGCAAGTGGCCGACTCTTCATGAACAGCTTGTGTATTATTGATATCTTTGGAAGATAGCAAGTGGAAGACTCTTCATGAGCAACTTGTGTATTATTGATATCTTTGGATGATAGAAAGTGGCAGACTCTTCATGAGCAGCTTGTGTATTATTGATATCTTTGGATGATAGTAAGCGGCATACTCTTCATGAGTAGCTTGTGTACTATTGATATCTTTGGAAGATACCAAGTGGCGTACTCTTCATGAGAAGCTTGTGTATTATTGATATCTTTGGAAGATTGCAAGTGGCGGACTCTTCATGAGTAGCTTGTGTATTATTGATATCTTTGGATGATAGTAATTGGCGGACTCTTCATGAGCAGCTTGTGTATTATTGATATCTTTTGAATATAGAAAGTGGGGGACTCTTCATGAACAGCTTGTGTATTATTTATATCTTTGGAAGATTGCAAGTGGCAGACTCTTCATGAGCAGCTTGTGTATTATGATGTCTTTGGAAGATAGCAAGTGGAAGACTCTTCATGAGAAACTTGTGTATTATTGATATATTTGGAAGATAGCAAGTGGAGGACACTTCATGAGCAGCTTGTGTATTATTGATATCTTTGAAAGATATTAAGTGGAAGCTCTTCATGAGCAACTTGTGTATTGTTGATATCTTTGGAAAGCAGCAAGTGGCAGATTCTTTATGAGCAACTTGTGAATTATTGACATCTTTGGAAGATAGGAAGTGGTGGACTCTTCATGAGCAGCTTGTGTATTATTGATATCTTTGGAAGATAGCAAGTGGCAGACTCTTCATGAGCAGGTTGTGTATTATTGATATCTTTGGAAGATAGCAAGTGGCGGATTCTTCATGAGAAGCTTTTGTATTACTGATATCTTTGGAAGATACCAAGTAGAGGACTCTTCATGAGCAGCTTGTGTATTATTGATCTTTAGAAGATACCAAGTGGAGGACTCTTCATGAGTAGCTTGTGTATTATTGATATCTTTGGATGACAGCAAGTGGCAGACTCTTCATGTGCAGCTTATGTATTATTGATATCTTTGGAAGATATCAAGTGGCAGACTCTTCATGGGCAGCTTGTGTATTATTGATATCTTTGTAAGATAGCAAGTGGCAGACTCTTCATGAGCAGCTTGTGTATTATTGATATCTCTTGAAGATAGCAAG